ACTTGAGACTCCAAGGCTACCTTTGAGCTTCTCACCCTCATTCAGTAAGTATTCTCATCCTACATTGAACATTCTTCACTCCTTCACTCAGATTATGAATCTCTCATAACAAATGTCACCATAATTGTTCTTAGATCTTCGACTCTCCAAGCTCCTATCAAGTGTTCTTGACTGGGAAACCCTTTCTCTTCAGCATACATCTAAGGAAATCACTCGAGGTGAGTTCATACCCCTACATTTTCATGTTTTCTTCAAGTTTTAGGTGGGAATACAAGTTAATACACCAAAAACTTAACTAGATTCAAACAAAAGCTCTCATCAGAAAAGTTGAGTTTAATATACAAATAGTTCAGGTTCATACCTTTAAAATGCCTACTTGCACATCTCCATACGATTTTTCTACAATTTATGGTGATTTTTACAAAACTGCCTATCATTTATGAAACGAATTCGGACCAGCCTGTGAATATGAACATTTTCACACACGTTAGAGACTTCTAAAAATCATAATAAAATTTATGAATAAACTAGATACGTTTTCTAAACTCTCAGAGTTTACGGATTCAGTTTTCGACTTCGTATGATTTTTCTATGATTTCTCTAAAACAGTGTAGAAAAGTGAAAAACGAGCTAACAGCTTATAATGTTCGTGACACTTTGTAACATGTTGAGCAAAGTGTAATCTTTGATGACTTCATATTTTGCATGTGTCCTCTGTTGTGATATATTTATATAACAGAAAATAACCTCTGAAATATAAGAATCATTTGTAATTACAAATATTGCAAGATGAAACATAATAAGTATAGTTATGTATTTGTTAAACTATTACATACGCATGAAGGGTCTTATCATGGTACAAATGGTCTTTTAATTACTACATGATAGACTATAATAGGTATAGTTCATGAATTTCACATCACTAATTTAGTACACGAATGGAGATATCACTTCCACCACAGAAAAGGTTTTACTCGAACACTACACGTAAACTCGTTAACGTAAGTTGTGAGACAATTCTTCACTTGTACTCTTAGAGTATGAGTTAAAAATTCCTGTAAGTTATAACCAGAATCTCTTGTAGGGGGAGCGTGATAATTGTGTATAGATCTATATTGGGATTGACACCCCACACCTTGTTGCTAGCTACAGCAGGACCTGTAGGTCTATGGGTGACAAAAGTCATAACAAATTTTAACGTCTGAAAAAAAACGTTGTAACAGGTCATCCGGTTGTAGTATGGTTATAGCGACTCACATAGGGAGTTAACATCACTTAAAGTTTACGGGAAATTCTACTTAAGCAAAAAGGGGTTTTATCTATCTAAAACTGCATACTCTCAGTCTTGGGATTTAAGACTACACGACTTTGTATAAGGAAAATATTGGAGTTTTCTTGAGTATTCATTTACATTTACAAACAAAGGTTTTTCCAACATTTCATCCAAAAGATTATGAACTCACCAACTTAATTGTTGACACTCTTTCAAAACTACTTGTATTCTTAGGAAACCAGTGAAACAGGTAACCAACTGCTTTTGAGGATGGGACGCAAGACGTCAAATTATACATTTTTGTCATCATAATGTAATTGATTTTCAAACATGTAAACTCATACTATGGTGTAACTTTTTTCAATTATATTTATGATGGTTCTATTTACTATGAGCACTATTATACTCGTTGTTGTGATACTATACATGAAGTTCTCCACCCCTGGATGTTTCCGCCATCCTTGGTTCGGGGGTGTGACATTTAGGGATTATATGAATTTGGTTTATGCATGTGTTTGATTATCATTACCTAGCATGTTAAAGTTTTCATCTTTGTTGCTTTGATTCAAGTTAAGTGTAGATTATTGACCATTTGAATTGCATGAACTTGTTTACCAAGTAGTTTATGACCATTCAATTGCGAGAGCTAGGATTAACCACATTTTAGATTAAGTGATAAATGTAATAACTTTAGCTGTGTTGGAGAACATAAATTGATCTTAATTGTGTTTAATTATTTGTCTTGATCATAGATGATTATTTTAGACATATCTTACATAGCACAATCATCATTAATAAACAATTATGTGTTTGCTTTTGTAAGATCAGTACATAGTTGTTCATAAATAGGTGAAAATATTAGTAGACCGGATCAAGATTGCTATTTACATATAAATTGGTAACCAACTTCATTAATCCATAAATAAGAACTAGCCATAGGAAAAAGGTGGATTCGAAATAAGTGAAAGCGTTTTTAATATCTTGATAACATTCGTTTTTAGTTAGCTGTTTGTTAGTTTTAAGTTAATTTGAACTTGCAAAATTAGATAAAATCCCCCTTTTAATTACTGTTTGATTTAGATTAATTTTTAGTAATTATTTTAGTATACTGAATTCGTTCCATGTGTTAAATATCTAACTATTTGTGTTATTCTATTTTCGATTGGGTACATTAACTTAGACGTAATAGTTAGTTAAATTACTTGGTGTAAACTATGATATAAATTACATATCACTCTTGTTATTTCAATCAAAAATGCATTATTTTTTTGGATTATTGTTTAAGTATAATACATATGGATATTTCTTCTAATGTTGATGAAATATTTTTTAATCATGTTTAATATTAAGGGAGGTACTTTTTGAAACAACTACGGGAGAGATTATGCACACACAGAATTTTGTGAGCATACGATTTGCACATGTTATATACCACAGTGTGATTGATTGTTGGGCCGCTGTTCTAAATTACAAGGAACAAAAGACAAAAAGTAAACCATATATATATATATATATATATATATATATATATATATATATATATATATATATATATATATATATATATATATATATGGGGTATGGATCTTTTACGAACCCATATTCTCCCACACACTCCACGAACTTTTTCACGTGAATTTTTTTTTAAAATGACTTAAGACATTAAGTCGGTCGTATAGAAGTGCATTCGCAAAAATAAATCTCAAAAAAAATATGCACACATGAAAAGTGTATATAAGCATTAACTTCAGAAGTGCTTATGTTTGTCAAAAGTAACTTTCATATGTGCATATTTTTTTCCAAATTATTTTAGGAAAGCACTTCTATATGACCGACTTAATGCCTTAAGTCACTTATTTCTAAAACATTTCACACAAAAAAATTTACGGAATTCACGGGAAAATATGAATTCACACAAAATCCTGACCCTATATATATATATATATATATATATATATATATATATATATATATATATATATATATATATATATATATATATATATATATATATATAGGCAAAAGATCAATAGAGAACCATAATTATTGGTTCTCCAAGGAACCAAATTTTTTTTTTCAAGTTCTAGAGTTTATTCTTTATCGAAAAAAAATTAAAAATTTCTAAATTCATAACTTAACATTGTGAATGTTAAATATATTTTTCGGATTCACCGTGTGAATTTAGATTCACATTGTGACTATTCAAATATTCACATTGTGAATTTGACGAAAAAAAAAATTTTTTATCGAATTTGACATTATTGGAAAAAGGATAAAAAATTATGAATTTCTGTATTTTTAGTTTTTTTTTTTTTGATAAAAAATAAGTTTTTAAAGTTGAAAAAAAAATTGGTTCTTTGGTTCCTTGATTAATTATGGTTCTCTATTGAACCTCACCATATATAGATATATATATATATATATATATATATATATATATATATATATATATATATATATATATATATATATATATATATATATATATATATATATATATATATACTAGTAGTATACCCGCGCAAAGCGGCGGGCGGCGAATACTTTTTTTCGGTAATTAGTTTCTTTTCGGGACAAAAACCACCTGAACCATCTATTTAACAAAAAAAAAGTTCGGGACGAAAACCAAAAATTTGGGAAACCATGGGGACCATTTATGTAATTTTGTCCAAAACTTATTAAGATTTTCCATAACAAGTTTGTGAAATTTTAATCATCAAATTATAATAACTAAAAAAAAACTTTAAATAATGTATATGTATTTACTAATGTTATATGTACAATATTAATCGCCAACACTTCTTTATACACCACATTTGACTCTTTGAAATATAGGCTTCATCATCATTGAACTTTTTTTAGGCTTCACTAATATATTCGTATTGTCATGTGATGTCCCTCTCGACAATGCAACGAAAAATTGATAATGCAAGAATACCCGGGTAGATATATACCTATATTTGAAATTGTTTGTCTATGAGCTTAATTGGTTGTCATCGCAAAACATAGTCGAATAGAAATTTATTTTCTTTTCAACTTGAATAAGAACATGTCATCCTCAAATGGATAGTTAATATTTATTTTAAGTCATATTAACTATATAAATGCACACAACACCCTAAAGTGGATTCAGAGCATAAGTGTTAGTATTGTGGTCGTAGGGTAGGTTGTGTGTTCAAGGTGGATATTATGTAACAAATTGTTTCCTTTAGGGTATCGGGTCCAAGGTTTAGATTTTACCATATGCAATGACCGTTTATTTTTTGGACCAAATAACTTTTCTGAATTAGTGTAAATGAATATTTACCGATTCATTGATTTTGAGCAAATAACTAGGGAAGAATCCCGCGTTGCGGATGTTGGAGTTGCGGGGGTTGGAAGGTATTGCTGTAGCACAAACGCACTCATGTTCACCGCTTATGTAATTCATCGAAATTAATATGATTGTGCTTAGATTTCAATTCTATGAATCAGAATTAAAGTTCCCAACACAGGGGTAAAATTGTCATTTATTGAAAATTAAGCTACCAACCATTCCTTTGAGTTTCATATGTATACAACCATTCAAAAACTCACGATACTACACAAATAGATCAAAATCGAAATGTTTTTTACCTTACATTGACCACAATTGACCAGCAAGAAATCCAACCTATAAATTACACTCACAAATTCCTTGACTAACCAAAAAGAAGTTAAAAAAATGTAACTGATCATACATTACACATGCTAGCGCATTTTAACATCAGGAACTTCAAAAGTCGTTGTATACGATTCCTCACTTGCACCTTTCGCTATACACACAAAACTATCATAATTATATAATCAAACAATCCCTTGTTTTGACCTTTATACCCTTTGCCCAAAAACTTTCTATTTTCCGGGCAAATAAGCTCAGGAACAACTTCTTTTGCCCCATTGCAGTAGGCTGACCGGATGGCTCTAATTACCTGGTATTGAAAAAGGGCAAAAATAAAGAAATACTTCCATTATTTTATCGATTTAGCCAAAAAAAAACAATTATTTGAAATGACTATTATCATAATATTACCCAACTTTTTACTGTAAAAAAAAAAAAAAAAAAAAACACCCATATATACTTTACCAGGTAAAGTGGTACCCCAGTGCCTTTCAACATCTTCAACAGCAGCTGTATTTTTTCTAAATACCCATAATACCTGAAAAGCCCTTCATCTTGTCTCCAATTCTCTTTCACCTTCACTTCCACCTGTTTTCATCACAACCATTATTAATTTCAATTTTCAGAATCTTGTTTTTCTTCCTACAAACTAAACAAAATTTCCGACTCCCCTCCCCAAAAATCTGGTCGTCCAATGCGTTGACAGTAACTACAAAGCATAAACTAAATTAAATTATTAACAAATTACAAAACGTGAATTTAGTTATTAAAAAAAAACTAATCAGAATCACCCTATGTCTAGTAAAAGGTTGAAATCTCTAACCGTTTTAAGGTTTCTTCAACAGTGATAGCAATCAATGCTTCTTCATACTTATGTCTTTCTTTCTCATTATCACATAACACCTATTTTATTGCCATGCATAGCTCATCTGCAGCATATGCACATAACAAAAAACATTTTAAGGGTTAACATGTTAACACAAATGACAAAACAAAAGATGATGCATGAAACACAAAAGAACCTGCATTTTCTCTTTCTTCACGAAGGCTAAGATTAACACTCTTGTTCATAGCCATTCCTTTTCAAAGCTGCAAGGTCCTACAAGTTTGACTTCTGGTTCTGGTTTTCTCCACAACCAGGCCAAGGGACTTAATGGCAAATACCTACAAAAGAATATGTACATTTATACTGGTCTTTGATTCATTTCTGCCTAACACATCCATATATCAATATTCAGAACCTCATTAGATCTTATGATAAAAAGGACAGCCTGTAAGGGTAGCTACAGGTCCTTCCCAAGTATTATTCATCTCATGAACATTCACAATCTGATCAATTTAAAGATAACATACGCTATTATGTTTACCTTTTTGCTTGGTTTTCTTGCAAAGACCAAAAGACACCAGTTATTTCCTTTCATGTATCATGAAACTTCAGAAAAAACATTTGTAGAGTGATTCTTGAGAGTGACATTACATCGAGCACCTGGTGGACATGGTATTCAAGGCAGATTTAGTGGGCTTCAATTAGAAAACATAAGAAAGAATGCCATTTTCAAAATCCAACACCTTATGCCTTGCTTTTGGCGATGTCTTTATTGGATCATTCATGTGCTCAAGTAGAAGAGAGACATAGCCAATACACTTTTATGTAAAACTAAAATCCATAGTTTATTTAGAACTATACATGACTAAATTGACTTGTATGGATGCTAAAAGATGAAAAAGAACATATAAAAGAACCCTGTCAATTAATAAATGAACGAAAACAAACCCCATCTCTAAATTGCAAATTAGAAAATCAGAAATAGTTCAAGAAGAATCATTTGAGGTTTTGGTTATTATCAAAAATGGAAAACACAACGGAAAACACAGAATCTTCTATGATTTTCAGGGGTCACTTTATCTTTATTCATGAACATACCCCAAAATCTAACCTTTTCTATCACAACTCAAAGCAGCAGATTCAGGTTAACAATATATAATATAACAAAATTGAATTATATTCTTCATGGCAACATCCATCTCATCTATTGTGATCCAGAGATATCATAAAGTTAGGGTAAAAGCAGGGCATCATAATTCATGACACATGAATATATCCTTTTTGTTGAAAAACACGTGAAGTGCTTTGATTCGTTATTAGGTTAGTTGGCAATGACTAAAGCAAACTAACCGAAGAGAAGCATATCCCCATACTGATGTTTAGAATTGTAGATATAGTCGATGTACTCTGAAAAAAAAATCAAAATTTAGCTTGACAGGTAAATAATTCTTACATAGAGCAGTAACCGTATATCAATATAAACAAAATTCATCAGAATAAACTAACTCATAGGCAGGAAAACTGGAATTACATATACACTTCAAATTAAAAGCATACATTATGTGTTTTTTACCTCGGTGTTGAAGACGACGGTGGAAGGTCGGCGGAATCGGTGTCGCCGGCGTCGCTATGGCCATAAGGAAGAATCGATGGTGTACCGGTGGTGTATTTCCTCTAAGAGCAGTGGGGAATGCGAGATGAAGTCATGAGTTTAGGTTCGTCATGGTGGTTCCTCCGTGAACGGAGGCAGACTCGCCAACGTCTGCTGTCGCCGGAATCGGTGTATCCGACTCAAACTTTGCTTTGAATCAATTAACCCCAAAACTGAAATCGCAGAGCACACAATTGGATCTGATTCCAAATTGAAAGAAAAACTGAGTTTTGTTTGTTTTAAAAGCTAATGAATAATTGTGGGTTGGATTTACCTGGGTTTGTGGAGCAGTTGAGGTCGGCTCCAACCCGTCCAGCCGATGCAAAACCGGAACGAAAGTAGAAGACAGTGAAGGAATCGCGTTTGAGCAGAACCGCAAAGTCAGGGAGAGGTAGTGGATGCGCCCTGACGGTGGAGGTCTGGCCGACGTCGTTGTCGTCGTCGGTGAGATCATAGTCCAAATACTCCTTAGGTCGAACAACATTACCATTTACCATGGGGGTGCAGTGGTTGAAGACGTACGGTGGAAGAGGGAAGTGTAGGGCGGTGGTTTGGAAGGAGCGTATGGAGGGTAGAGGAAACTGGAAGAGCAAAAGAGAACAGAGACGTAGAAGGTAAGCGGTGGAAAAATTAGATATGGCAAAAAAGAAGGAGCAGGAAAACAAACACGTAGAAAGGAGTTTGAGAAACGAAGACATGTGTAATCCAGAGTTTGAGAAATGAAGAGGTGTGTAATCCACTTTCACTTCTAATATAAAATATTTATTAAGCCAAAGAAGACAACAAAGGAAGAGAACATGAAAATCCAAAAAGAAAATTCCAGCCAATGACAGGCAAGTACTGTTCAAGTGGCACTTTAGAATTAGTATGTATATATAATATGTTGAAAATTGGTTAATAGATAATAGTATGAGATTGTTTTTCTCTCTAAAAAATAAACGTTTTTGTATATGATGGTTTTTTACACTATTTACGTTTTTATAATTTATTATTTTTTTCTTTTATACTAAATTAGTGTATTTTCGGTTAAAATATGCCGACATCAAATCTGATAACTCACAATAAATATATATGAAGTATATCATCGATCAAAGTACAACCAATTAGTATAAATTTATTCTTATGTCCAACTTTTATAATGACATATACTTATGTTGTTTATAAATTTATCATAAATAATTATTAAATGTTAAAAATATCATTTCAGTGCAAACACCAAAATTAGTTGATTATACATTGAATAAAATAATTAAATTAGTATTATGAAAATGTTTGGTGAATTCTAATAGACCTTCATAGTTAATACTTTAAAAACACATACAACAGGTTTAGTGCTCATATTCACATTTTTTATGTGGATAGGATCATAAGTGTCCGGATCGAATTCGGGCTTCATTTTCATTTGTGTCTTTATTTTAATGATTGTCTTCTCATTATTTCTGTTTTTTTTATTATTTAATTTTATTTCTATGGGTTTTTAACAACAAACGGAAATAAATAGTTAATTATTAGGTTTGCCACATTGTGTATAGCCTATTGTTTTAGTACATAGTACATCCATCTGTCTTTCTAGATTCCTATTATTATGTGTTTTGGTAAATCACAATTGCTACATAAAACTATAAAAAAACAACTTTCAAAACAACCGTATAATGAGTTTAAACATCAAACACTTTTGAAAAAAAATAATAATAACTACAAAATTGCCTCCTACTTCAACTCTACAAATCTACCAATATGCTATTGAGGATCTTCTCGGACACAAGCTTCAACTCCACATATTTAGTAGCACCACTCCAGCAGTCCAGCTGAACTATTTTTTCCAATTTCATTGTGAAAAAAATACCAATATATCCATTGTTCTTTTGTGTGAACCTGGACATTATTAAAAAGAAACAATGACATAATTTTTATCAAAAGAATTAAAGATTAACATAAAACCTTTTCATAAACAAATTATCAAATTTTGAACCATCAATTTCCATTACCCTTAATTAGCCCAAGCGTATGGAACCATATTGGGTTGAATGCTTCACCTCTGAAAATTAGTTGAAGCAGTCTTGTATTTGGCCCAATTCCGATATAAATTGACATTTTTACAACAAATTATCTTTTATAAATAAATTCTCAGATTATAAAAAAGAAGTGTTACATAATATAATTGGATTGTTTTATATGCTTTGGTACATTGTTCTTTCATTCCAAGTCCAACAGAAAGTCTGGTGCTATAAATGGATGGTTTTTCAAAAAAAAAATGTAAGTGTAATGCTATAATTGTTACTTTTTCAAAAAATAAAAAATAAAAAAATTTGAAAGTGCAATGATATACTTGGTTACCTGGACATTAAAAATATGCAAATATGATCTAATAGGTAGTTTGTAAGAATTCCTACACTAACCCTTAGTTCAAGCTCCAAGAGAACACGTAATTGTATAACTCGGTAGTTACAATATTATATTTTATTACTTTTCATTGCGCTAAATTCAAAAAATAGCAACCTACTATCATCAAGTAAAATGTACTAAATAAATCACAATCTTGATCAAAATCAATGCAAGTAAAATGTAATGAAACTGTTATTATTTTTGTTTCAGTTAAGCAGATGTAAACCTGATCACAATCAATCCAGTTTAGAGAACATATGTAGAAATCATAAATCATAATTTCAGGTGCAATGCTTTCCACTATGGTACCTGGAGATGTACAAGTGGAAATATCACTTCCCATAAAGTAACATCACTTCTACTTAAATATATTGGCCAATGTATATTAATCATCAAGAGTACCAAAAACCCTAGAGCACTCACTGCCAATAACCACCAAATATCATTTAATCCTTAATGAAACTCTTTTGCGTTTTACACGGTTCACCTTGTTACAGAATTCATGTAAAATATATTTTGTACCATCATAAATACATAATAAATATTGAAAACCGTGTAAGTATCACATTAACATATATATTACTCGATGAAGATGCTAACCTTTTAGTAAAACTACAAGTCCTGGAAATTTTTGACTTTTAGTAAAACTACAAGTACCACTACCAATAACCAGAAAAAAAATACATTACTCCATGAAGGTGTTGACCTGTTATTAAAATCTTATGGCAATTTCTCGACAAAGATTTTTTTTCTTCTTTATCTCCATAAGAAAATACAAGATAAGCTACCGGATTGTCGCTTCATTTCCAATAAATAAGAGCATATGAAACAAAACACAACATGATAATGTAGCAAGAAACACATTAATTTAATGCATCAAAACTCTAACAAAAGGAAAGAATACTTCTGTTAATCTGATAATCAGAGAGTATTATTAAGTTTTGGATTCCTATTAAAGGGAAAACATACTCTTAATATTGTATTACCTCAGTTATGATGGTGAAAATGGATGTTGATTTATCCAGAAACATGACTAAAGTTTCAAGCCCAAAATGGATGTTGGCTTACCCTACCATAGGTTTCGCATACATGGATTAGGAATTAGGTTCTTCCTTTTGTCACACCCCCGAACCAGACGGCAGAACCGTCCGAGGGCTCGTGTGACTTAAATTGAAATATCATCACAATGAATATACATGAAACATAACATAAACATCACCATGCATTAATACATTACAACCGTCATTGTTCACATCAAGTACATTGTTTACATTACATAATCCAAAACATAAATTGTTTATCGATTAACATCACACAAAAGACGTTCAGAAACACGCTTGGTAATTCTTCATTCTAACGATTACCTGAGAACACAAGTTATTTTGAAAACGGTCAACATATATAATGTTGGTGAGTTCATAAGCAAGTTTGATGTAAAGATGTTTTGTATCGTTTGTAAAACCCAGAAAATCCGATATTTTCTGAAACAAAAACTGTTTACGAAAAAGATGTGATGATCCCATAAGTATATATGTATGTGATTTCAAAACATGTAAAAGTGAATGTTCACCATAATTGTTCTTTGTATTGTAGTTGTTGTATGTAAAAAGTGAATAATGTCGTTCCCCGGAAAACCCGATGTTTTCCAATTCAAATAGTATGATAGTATCGTATTATTGTATGAATCACTTTGCATCGTCACAGTGTATGAATATGATTACTTATGAATGATGATATGGTAATGGATCT